CCCCCCGGTCCCTTGGACGATACCGGGTCACCGAGTCACCCAGACCGTCCCAGTCTGGATACAGGATCCAAAACAATATCGTGTTTGCGAACACCGGCCTCAGCCGCATCGGAACAGCCCTGAGCACCCGGAGGCCGTCGAGTCTCAGGGCAGATGGGAGTTCCCCCCGGTCCGACGGCCACTCGAAGCCTCGGGTTTCGTCATGGTCNATATATATATATATATATATATATATATATATATATATATGCGTGTGTGTGTGTATATATATATATATATATAAAAATAAGAATATTTACCTTAAAAAAAATTTTTTTAAGCCAGAACGTCCTGATGTTTCCTCCATGTCTGGATGAGATAAAGCAGAATTTCCCCGAGACTTTGCTCCTCCTGGGAACACCCCAGCACACATCTGCCTCGTGCGGGCATCTTACTTACCCCTTCACTTTATGACACTCCAGTTCTCACAAAGTGTCCGCAGTTACCTCCGGCCGGGCCCCTTGCAAGCCGGCTGCTCGCTTAAATATCAGCAAGGCTGCCGCACCACACGGCGCCGCGGGGAGTGTAGCTGGAAGCCCAGGCTGCCTTCGGGGATCCAGACGGAGAGACACCATCGTCAGGGCCCCTCGTTCCTCCAGGTCAGGGACCCTGAGGCAAGAACCTGGCAGAATTGCTCAGAGCATTTTTAATTTTTTTTTAGAGAGAGAGGAAGGGGGAGAGAGAGAGAGAGAGAAACATCAATGCTGAGAGTCATGGATCGGCTGCTTCCTGCAGGCCCCCTGCTGGGGATCGAACCCACAACCTGGGCCTGTGCCCCGACCGGGAATCAAACCACGATCTCCTGGTTCCTAGGTCGCCGCTCAACCACTGAGCCACGCCGGCCGGGCGGAGCATTTTTTGTTTTCCAAAGAAGAGGTTCCATAGTTTATATCTTATTCCGGTTGGTCCAGTGACCCCAAGCAGGCAAAGTGCTGGAAACAGGCACAATTTTTGCCCTCGGCAGGAGCCACACGGCACACAGCCAGCCACCACCTGCTGCGCTTAAGGGGTATTTGCAGAAGCATCGCCGCAAATCATCGCACGTTTACCGAACAGCATCCTCTTCGGCGTTTCCTAACTGCGTCCTGTCCTCCGGGTCCCCGGGCAGGGGGAGTCCATCCCGCTCTTTGCACCATTAGAAACCGAATCTCGTAACCAGACGGGTGTCTCCTTGTCAAATAGCTTAAAGGCTTCTGGCCGTACCTGTGGGCAGCCCANAGCCTCGGGTTTCGTCATGGTCAGCGATTCCCGTCGGGGACTGTCTTTGAAGCGAAGGCGGCTTCCTTTATCTTGAGAAAATACCCGCCCGAGGGATAGCGGAGCCTGAAGAGTGGTACTTTATTTGCTGGGAGTTCTTTCAAGTAAAAACAGTGTTTCATTAAAACAAACCAACCAAAAAAAGCTGTGAGTTTGACTCAATTTTAATGGTATCATTTCTCTAGAGACCCGATCTCCCAACACGGCCACGTCCCGAAAGTTCAGGGGTCAGGACTTCGGCACACGGATTTCAAGGGAGGAGTTCCCGCCGCTTTGGCCCAGGGGTGGTGAACCGAGGGACCGTCCCTCAAAGCTGGCGTTCGGGGGGCTCTTTAGGGCAGGTGGCAGCTTTGCACCCGCTCCTACTTTTTACACTGAAATTACAGCCCGGCTCTGAGATAAAAAGTGGGAAATCGATNGCTCAGAGCATTTTTAATTTTTTTTTAGAGAGAGAGGAAGGGGGAGAGAGAGAGAGAGAGAAACATCAATGCTGAGAGTCATGGATCGGCTGCTTCCTGCAGGCCCCCTGCTGGGGATCGAACCCACAACCTGGGCCTGTGCCCCGACCGGGAATCAAACCACGATCTCCTGGTTCCTAGGTCGCCGCTCAACCACTGAGCCACGCCGGCCGGGCGGAGCATTTTTTGTTTTCCAAAGAAGAGGTTCCATAGTTTATATCTTATTCCGGTTGGTCCAGTGACCCCAAGCAGGCAAAGTGCTGGAAACAGGCACAATTTTTGCCCTCGGCAGGAGCCACACGGCACACAGCCAGCCACCACCTGCTGCGCTTAAGGGGTATTTGCAGAAGCATCGCCGCAAATCATCGCACGTTTACCGAACAGCATCCTCTTCGGCGTTTCCTAACTGCGTCCTGTCCTCCGGGTCCCCGGGCAGGGGGAGTCCATCCCGCTCTTTGCACCATTAGAAACCGAATCTCGTAACCAGACGGGTGTCTCCTTGTCAAATAGCTTAAAGGCTTCTGGCCGTACCTGTGGGCAGCCCACTGACAGGGCGCAGGAGTTCATGACACCCGTTGTAAGCGCTTAAAAAAATGGTTAGTTCCCTGGCTGGTGTGGCTCAGTGGTTAGAGCTCCGGCCCACAAACGGAAGGGTCCTGAGTTCGAATCCCGGTCAAGGGCACGTACTTCAGGTGCAGGCCCGATCTCCAGTCCCAGTCGGGGTGCTGGTTGCAGGTGGCAACCAAGCGATGTGTCTCTCTCACATTGATGTGTTTTCTCTCCTCTCTCTCTCTCCCTCCCTCCCACTCTCTCTGAAAAGCAACGGAAAAAATATCCTTGGTTGAGACTTAACAATAAAATGCTTCACGCCCCTTTACTCTCTTGGTGTCCTCGCGGTTTGCGCGTTCCCATTTATCTCATCTCGCTGGGCACGTGCCCATGGGGGCAGCGCTTGGCACCACCGCCTCCGGGCGGGAGCTTCCGATATTTTCTCGGTTACGATGGATGCATTAGGGGCGTGCGAGCCTGTGTGGGGAAAGAATCAAAGGCTCCCCCTCTGAGTCAGATGGCGCTTTTCGGACAGCTTGTCCCCGGACCCTCCCTCCCCTGGGAGCACAGTGAGTCGAGCCCACCGAAGGGCCCGCGCGGGTTCCCTGAGCTTCTGGAAAGCGGGTGAAACGCTCTGGCTCCAGCGCACCTCAGACGCCTCGCCAGGAACATCGGTTACCCGTATCCTGCCTTCTCCCCTTGAAGGAAAACCACCCTTTAAGGGGAGCACTGGGTGGGGGCGGGGGCGGGGTGTCCGAGGAGGGCAACCCCGAGCTGAAATCTTCCGGACGAAAAGCCAGAGGCCTCATCTTAGACCCTAACCCCGAACACGCAGGCTGAAGACAGGCGCCTACGCAGAGCCAGGTCCACTCGGGGCACCCAGAGCACCCCGAAAGCAGGACCTGGGTAGGGGGCGGCGGGAGGAGCGCTGCAAGGAGGGTTCATTGTAAACT